GTTAAAAAAAAAAAAAAACAACTTCCAGCTCCATTTGCAGCCCGTGAAATGTATCGAGTCTCGGTTCAGGCCTCAGCTAGCCACGTGAGCTCCAGTTAAGCACTTTATCTTCTGGAGTTCTTGATTTCTTCATCTGAAGAATGTGACTAATAACCCCTGACTTGTCTGTGTACGGGACTGTCCTGAGGACCCAAAGAACTTGGAGAACTTTGAGCGGGTTCCCTTCCACGTAGGCCACAGACACATACCTGCCCAGCCGGACTCGGGGACCGTCCCCCCACCGCCACCTCGAGTGATTGCCGTGGCAACTGAGTGCCCGGCTAACCCCCGCCCCTTGGTCTAGTTTCAGCTTAGATGTTGTTTCTTAAAGGTTTTCGGGCCTCAGACTGGGTCTCCCTCCTGTAAGCTCTCATAACATTCTGCAGAATCCTCTTATCACGTGTGTCAGGAGTTGCATAGTGTGGCTGTGTGACCGTTTAGCCTGTATCTTCGGTGCCAGACTCTAAGCTCCAGGAGGTAAAGGAGTACGTCTGTTGCACATCATCAGATCACCAGCATGTAACACAGTGCCTGGCACCGGGCAGGTAGGTGCTCGATAAAATCCTTGCTGGATGAGGGAGTCAATTGCCTGCCTCGACCCCCTTTTATCCTTCAGTCAACCCCTGCTGCCAAGCGCCCATCTATTACGTCCCTCTTGCCCAACATCTCCTTATAAGGAGAAGGGCGACATCTCTCCTGTCTTCATAATTCAAGGAACAAGTCAGCTAGATCATAGTTGGCCTTCTTCCCATCTCCCATCACAGCAGACCTCGCCCAGAACCCAAGGCTGCAGGTGAGTAATTGCTAGTTATTTATTTATTTATCCTTGCGCAAGGCTGCCCTCTGGTGGTTAAACACGGAAGCGAGCACGGGAAGGATTGAACCGCCCGGGCTGAGCCGGGCTCAGAGGGTCCTCAGTGTGCCTCCGGGTGAAGATTCTTGTCAGTCTCCGTCCTTATTTTTTTTTATTAAAAATTTTTTTTAATGTTTTATTCATTTTTGAGACAGAGAGAGACAGAGCATGAGGAGGGGAGGGGCAGAGAGAGAGGGAGACACAGAATCCAAAGAGGCTCCAGGTTCTGAGCCGCCAGCACAGAGCCCGACGCGGGGCTCGAACTCACGAACCGCGAGATCATGACCCGAGCCGACGTCGGACGCTCCACCGACTGAGCCACCCAGGCGCCCCTAGTCTCCATCCTTATGAATGTCTCCCTCCAAATCTAACAGGAAGCCCTTGGCCTAGGAAGAGCAAGAATATAAAGCCTCATAGAAACCCCACCCTACCCTGGTGGGTGAAATAACTATTCTGTCCTCAGTGGTGAGCTGGCAAATGTTTAACAACCATCTCTCTCTCTCTCAGAGAATCCCGATGTGTAGCATTGACTGATTTCCATGGTAGAACTTCTCTCACCATGGCCGATTTCAAACTACCAATGTGATGTCACTTGAAAGTGTTGTCGGGAAAAACAAGCACTAAGGGGCCCGTCACTGTATACTACATCACGGATGCGAGTAAGTCCAAGAACTTATTGGTTACTAGTAAAATAATTGGGAAGTCATGAGTTTGAGTATTTATTACATGTGCTTTCAACATCATATATCTAAATGCGAGCTGGTAATGTAATCCTGAATAAAAGCCCTGTTCAGCCACTGGCTTACAAAAGTCTGGGAAGTGTAATAATTGGTTCTGTAAGCCTCGTAGTAAGAGCTGGCTCCCGCATGCCATTGCTTCTCCCACTTCCCCCTTCTTTTTCTCCTCCTCCTCCTCTTCTTCGTACATGACTTCCCGGCATTCTGTGTGGGTAGGACGGATGGCGAATATGGGAGTGAGCTTTGCTCCAGACGCTGCTATTTTCTGAGTCAGGAGCCATAAGGTGCTAAGGAAAGAGAATGAGAAAATGCAAATTTGGCTACTGCGGGACGCTTTCGCGTGTGTGTCTGCGTGCGTGTCTGTGTGCGTGTGCCCGCGTGTGTGTACGTGTGTCTGTGTGTATGTCTATGTTTCCACGTGCACGTCTATATGTCTGTGTGTATGTGTGTGTGTGTGTGTGTCTGTGTATCTGTTGTATGTGTGTCTGTGTATCTATGTGTGCGTGCATGTGTGTGTGTGTGTGCGTGTGTGTGCGTGCGCGTGTGCAGCCCGTGGGGGCAGGGGGCGGGGGTGAGTTTTGCAACTGGATCAGGGGGCCGATTCCGGCCTGGATGACAGACCACCGCGTGGAGGCGAGGCCCGCACCCTTCCCGCCGCACGGGGAGCGGTGAGCTAGCAGCAGCGGCCGGTGGGGAGGCGAGGCAGGCAGAAGTAGGCGCTGGGGAAGAAGCCCAGGTTGATGGGATTGCCGTCTAGGCGGATGTCTTCCAGCCGCCTCCGGCTGTGTTTGTGCTCCTCAGTGTCACAGAAGGCGTCTTTCTGCATGGTCTCTATCATGTTATTCTGGAAAGAACACATTGACAGCTGCCAAACCTCCCCCTGGAGAGTCTGCCCCCAGGCAGCGCCGAAGGCACGGATCAATCCGCTCTCCCCACCAGCTCCCCTCTTGGGAGTGGAGAAACCGAGGCACATGAGGCCGAGGCCACGCAGCAAGGGTTGAGGAGGGAAGGCGCGTGGAGGATGGATATGGAGAGCAGAGAGGGAGGAGGAGGAGGAGGAGACAGAGGAAGGAACCAGCCGCCGGTGAGGTGGGGTGAAGGATGCTGAGGGACAGGAAGCATCTTCGGAAGGAAAGGAAGGCCGTCGCGCCGAGGCTGTGGGCGATGGCCTGGGCAAGACCTCGGCTCCAAGCCTCCAGTAAGCTCCCTGGGAAGGAGACCCCACCGCATTCTCAGGATGCCCCTGGGCTCTCTGCAATGCTCTTGGTCTTGGGGAGGCTGCTTACCTGCAGGTGCAGTGATCGCAGGCTGGGGGGCAGGGGCCCGGGGATGGAGTCCAGCAAGTTGTCAGCCAGGTAGAGGAACTGCAGCTTCTCTAGCCCCTGGGGAGGAGGCAGAGGGCATGGGAGGCTGGCAGGGGTCGTGGGACCTGGCAGTGACAGGCGCCCAGCGGGGCCCCAGTGTTCACTGAGGGCCTCCTCAGCCTCAGCCACGTGTCAGGCTCGGGCCTGGGTGCTGCACGGGATGCCCAGTCTCTCGGGAGCTCACAGGCACTAACTCCCACCGGGCGCAGCAGGAGAGCTGCTGTCATTGAGGTCTGGCAGCTGGGGGAGGCTGCCGGAGCTGGTAATGAGGAGCAGCGAGGGGTAGGCGGGGGAGGGGGGCGCGGACGGGGTGGAAGGGAGGACAAGGGGCCATCCCAGTTCAGCCTCAACTTTTCCCAAATGAGAAGTCTCCAAATCTGGTCCTGGAGTGGCTGTGAAGAGAATGTTCTGGAAACGTCTGGAGTGGCAGGGTGAGAGCTGCAAGCACATGTGAGGCAGGCTGAGCGGGTGCGTGTGGCAGAGCTGGGCGTGAGCCCCTCCTCGCGGCCTCCCTGGCACCACTCCTGGAGCTCTCAGAGGGCCACGGTCGCAGGGGCCACGTTTGTGCCTCGGGTTTAGCCCTTCCCGGCACGAGTGGCCAGCCAGAGATCCATCAGATGGATGGATGCTCTCGCAAGCACTCGGTCAGAGAAAATCAGTTAGTAGTGGGCTTTTTTCCAAAGCCCACTTTTTTCCAAACTTTAGGTAGGGTTAGGGTTGGAGCCAGCACGATCGCAAGTCACAGCACAGCCTAGGTTTTAGGGGCGTAGGTGCTGCAGGTGCCGAGAGGTGAATGGGACAGACGTGCCGAGAGGCCATGTGCCGGAAGAGGCGGAGGGAGAGCTGCTGACTCTCATTTCTGGTGCCAACCCCCCTCCCCCATTTCCAGTAACAAGCCCATGAGGCCTGCATTTCCTTTTCCTGGAAGTTCATGGGATGGCGTGTCGTAAGACACCCTCTTCTGGAGTCAGAATCAGTTTCTTGAAACCAAAAAAAAAAAAAAAGTTTAATAAATGGGAACAGGTGAAGAAAATGGGGTTTGATTTTCATACCCAGGATAGTGTTGGAGCAGGGACATCCCACGAGGGCAAGGTTGTGTGTGTGTGTGTGTGTGTGTGTGTGTGTGTGTGTGTGGTTGTGGGCATGCGTGGCAAGTGGTAAATGGAGGACTTTAGGCCCTGGCTCACCCTGAAGGCTTCGGGCTGTATTCCGGAGCTCTGGAGCCGGTTCAGGCGGACGTCCAGGACCTCGATGCCAGCGGGCAGCACGGGCAGAGCCGCCAGCTGGTTCTCTGGGAGGATCAGGTCCCGCAGGGCAGGCAGCAGGCGGAGGGCATCATCATCAATGGAGGAGATGGAATTGCTGGAAAGGTCGATCTTCTTCAGTTTTGCTATGGGGTATGGGGGATAATACAGAAAGTCACGAGACGCGCTATCCTTCCTGGCCCTTGCTGGACCTACCTGTACCCTGCCCTATCCTTTTAAAGATAGGCAATGCCAGCCAGTTCTCCACCCGTGTGAGGTCCAAGCCAGAAGAAATGACGTGATAAACCAGGGCCTCCTGGGAAAGCCCTCAGATTCGGCCATACTTTCTCATGGAGTTCTGTCCTGTGTGGTGGCGGCCCATGGATATGGGTTTGGTAGAAACCTTTGTAGGGCAAGACCCAATAGGCCCACCAATCCTTAGACCCATCCCACCCCCACTCTTCACCATTAGTTGACGTGAAAGGACGCCATGGCCCAGAAGGCTATGGGATTTAGTGGTAGCATCTGGATTTGAGCCCAGGTTTCCTATATGAGGCAGGGTATAAGGCATAGGAATAACATGCCTTAGGAATGTTAGGAATAGGAATAGGAATAGGTATAAGGCACAAGGAAAACACGGCAAACAAAAAATGGATAAATGGCGTCAGTGCTGTGGAGAGTCGACGTAGCCTGGTCTTGTCCAGAGGCCAGGAGGGCACAGAGCTGTAGTGGCTGGGAATCCTGAAAATGGAGGCCTGATCCTATCTTCCCCTTCCCCGCTTTCCAGAGCTTTGGGGAGAACAAAGGTGGGCGGGTCACTTCTGTTATCCAACATCTTCAAGGAAAGGAATCAGGGAGACTTGGGGCTATTTCCATTTGGTAGCTGGGGAGACTGAAAACTAACAGGGAAAGGCTAACACAGGTGGGACGCTGTGTGACAGCTCGTGTGGCTGGTGCCCAGGCGGAGGGCCCGTGGGCTTCCCTCCGCCAGTCCTGCCCTCCTCCTGTGCCAGAGCATTACATACTCAGCCCTTTGAAGTCTCCAGCTCGGATCCGGCTGATGCGGTTGAAGCGGGCGTACAGGTAAGTGGTTGTCTTGGGGAGAGGCGGGATGCTCTCCAGGTCAGTATCGTCACAGTACACGGAGGAACCAAGGCACACGCATACCAGACAGGTAGGCAGGCCTGGCTCAGCTGCAAGGCAGAACACAGGGAGAGCCTTCTCAGACTGCCTTCAGCTTCCCCGACCAGTGGCCCTTGACCCAGGGAGTGTCTGAGCCACGGCTAGAACTCAATGTCGCAACGCGCTGAGGCAGTGCCGTGGGCTGCCCCCGACCCGGCCCTCAGCCCCCAACCCAAGAGGAGCAGATCCTCACCCAGTTGTCACCCAGTCTCGGCCCACTGGTCCTCTTATCAGGCCCCCATCCGATGCAGGTTTTCCCGGGCCTGTGTGGGTGTTTCTAGGACATCCATTGGTCTTTTTTCCATAGGGGCTCCTCCCTGGTCCCCAAAGGCACAATGAAGATAAACTAAAGGCAGAACTAGGCGAAATGGCTAATGGTTGCTGGTCCTGCCATCTGCCTTGTGGGCGAGGAGTTAGACACGTTCCGTCTGGCTCCGAGAAGCAGAATGAAGCCACGATGGAGTGGACAGTGCTTGCCTAGGATTCATTTCCCGTTCTTATGGTGTCAGCATCCCAGGAAATAGCTCTCTCCTGTCCTCATGCCATGACCGGTGGTCATTAGACATAAGTCAGGCCTTCAAGCCCAAACCGGCTTTGAAAAGCTGGGACGGCTTTGCTGGCTCATACAACTGACTGGTGCAGGTAGTTTCTGTTACTTGCCACTACAAGAGATTACGGGAGACCACCGCTCATCCGACTCAAGGGCGAAATCTGTTAGCAGGGGCACAGCCCCAAGATTAAGAGGCAGCTTTTCTTTGCAGGCAGTGACCACTATGGGTGGAGCAGAGAGGACCTCAGGGCCCTCCTTAGCCCAAGGCCTTGAATGGCAGATCAAGCCGAGGCCTTTTATGGTCTTTTTAAGCCCGGGGTTCTACAGCCCCGAGAGGTCATGGGTTCTTACGGATGCCCGGATACGCTAGATCCATGCAAGGCAAATATCTCAGAAGAACAGGAACCAGGGACAAGCAAGTCAGGAATTAACTGCATCCCTCCTCTGCATCAGTTTGATCCCCAAAGAGTGCCAACCCCTTATTGTCAGATGTGCCGGTGTCCCAGTCTCCAGGAGGGCATCAGGGAGGGGAAGAGAGCTGCTAAGGGGGAATTTAGAGCCGAAAAGCAGTATGACTGCTTCATCTGCCCCCATGCCAAGTGACAGCCACAAAGTTATTTATTCTCCTCTACAGGCTTTTAATTGTCTCTAATCTAATTACCACTCAACCCGCTCCCCTAGTGATGCTGTTAATTAAGGTAGGGTGGCTTTGCTAGGAAGAGTGGAGTTCTTGCTTTTCTTTCTTCTTTTTCCTTTTTTTTTTTTTGGCCTCCTATCCAGCAAAAAGCAGTAGGGACAGCTTACAGTAAAGGTTACAGTAAAGGTTAGCTTTTAACTCTCCCTTACAGTAAAGGTTAGCTCCCGACCCTTCCCTCCCTACCCCAACCGCACTTTACTGTAGTAGCCCCAGGGCTGGGTCATGGCTACATGGCCCATGACCTATGCGTACTGAGACCTGTGACCGTGAACTCACCGTGGCTGCTTGGGGAGCCTGGGAGGCCCAGCATAGTAGGCTTGGTCATGGTGGGCTTGGACGAGAGTGTCCTTGGATTCACCGTGCTCTGAGTGGAACCGATCCTGGTTGGAGGACCCAGGCTGGATCCCGCTTTGACCTGGAGACATAGCACGTAGCACACAGTAGGCCAGTTATCAGCTTTGGACTCTGGGGACCTCAGTGACCAATTTCAAACTTACAAAGAGTCACTGTGGAGAAAAGGGGGAGGGAGGAAGGGAACTTCTTAAAGAGCATCTGGTCCAGTATCTTCCTTACATGGAGGAGGAAATGGGCCCAGAGAGGAGAGCACCAGGGATCAAGGAGGCAGCTGGTGGCCAAGCTGTCCAGAGCTGGAATCCATGTCTCTGGATCGCCCAGGCCGCCATGCTTCCTCTTGCTCAGCACTGAGCTCATGCAGCCAACGGGTGCGGGCTTCAGATCAGCCCCTGCAAAGGCCAGGAAGTGCTGAGAAAGAACTTCAGACTAGAAGACAGAGCAGATGGGGTTTGGAGCTTCTTTTTCTAGCGAGAATATGAAGACATCGCTGACTCCCACCCAGTGAGACGTGGCTTATGGTCTTATGTGACGGCAGGCTACAGATGTATGACTTCTATGGGGGATCCCGTCAAGTTTACTAGAAGCCGACAAAGAAACTTAACTTTTGCTGTCCTCTTTCTTAGCATTATCTACGTGATAAGTTCCTATGGAGGGACAAGAATTTCCACCTCCTGGAGAAAGACGTGGAGGCTTGAGATGCCTGCACTGTGGGCAGCTGGAGAGGGGCCAGGCCCCTGACACCCAGTTCCTACAGGGAACACAGTTGGTCTGCTGTGTGCTCCTTACCTCGGGGAGCTGGTCCCCATAGTCCATGAGCCCTTCATAGTCGCTCAGGTCAATGACCTCATCGTAGTTGTCCAGGTCAGGGACGTAGTTCCCCAGATTCAGGACCGCGTAAGAATCTCCTTCCTCGTTCGTCGGGTCTCTCCTCTTCCTCCCCTTTGGGGGAGAAGCTGTCCCTGCTTCTAGCAGCACCAGGGCCAGCAGGCTCAGGAAAGCCAGGAGCTTCATGGGGACCCTGGGAGGAAGTGGCAGCAGAAATGAGGAGGAGGTTAAATCACGTCGTCGTCGGAGCCCAGTCCTGGGGGACGGGCAGGAGGAGGGGCAGCCGTCTAAGAGGCAGGGTTCTCTCGGGCTTTGTGGGAACGACTCACTTCCCACCCCCACACTTGCCGACTCCATGTCGTTATACACTCAGTGCATCTATTGCGTGTGCAAGCCCCCTAACGGCTGGGGCTCTGTCTAGGGCGCTTCTCCTGCCAGCCCCTCCCACCGCCACCCAACTTCAGTGCCTGTGGGCTCTCACACACGCTGAGTTTCGCTCACCCAGGCACGTGTAGACACCTGGCAAAGGCTCGTTTACTCATCTCATGCAAGGCTCCCTGTCTGCACACCTCCCTACTAATTAGGCATACACTCGTGCATTTATACAAATGTCCTCTCTAACGACCACATGCGCAGAGTACCATCATTAGTCACCAAGCTAGGTTTAGAGAAATCTCATCATCAAGGAGCCTTGCGGCTTTTTAAAAGATTATGCATCCATCACACATTTGCTCAACAAACATTTATGGGGCGTCTGTTATGTTCCGGGCACTGGACTCCTCTCTGGAGGCGCAGAAATAACTAAGGCACACCTAGCACGCTCAGAGTTCATGCTTTTCAAAATGACATATAACGTAAAAAGAACGTTAGTTATAAAATATACTTCCTAAATGCAGCTTTTTTTTTTTTTTTTTAAATGCAGCTTTAAAAAAAAAAAACGTTTACTTGTTTGGAGAGAAAGAGAGAGAACATAAGTGGTGGCGGAGCAGAGAGAAAGGGGGACAGGGGACCCGAAGCAGGCTCCCCGCTGACAGCAGTGAGCTCGACCTCAAGAACTGTGAGATCATGACCTGAGCCGAAGTCGAAGTCAGAAGCTCAACCGACTGAGCCTCCCCGGAGGCACCCCTCAATACAGCTTTTTAAAAACAAATGATCACAGGAACAGAAAATGTTCTTTGCATGTAGCTGGGGGGGCATGTACACATCTAGAGAGTTCCCTAGATGTCTGCGTGTGTGCACCAGTGATTACGTGCGTGCGTGATGAGCACGTAAGCAGAAACGTCTGCGCGAGTTCCTGCACAGAGGCACAGACGGGTCAAGGAATGTGTGTGGTGCGGGTGTGAGGGAGCTGGCGTGTTTCTGATAGTGCAGCTGCAGAAATGTCTAGCACGTTCGTCTCCTTTATGCATTTCAGCTGGGCCCAGGGTAAGCCCTCTGCAGTGGCAAGAATGATTTTTTCATCAGAGCTTTTGCCCCCCGAACCCCAGCAGCCCCTTCCAACTTCTCTTGCCCAGAGGATGCGACTCCCTCCGTCCCCCTGCCCCCCCCCCAGTCCCTCCCAGCCTGCACCACAGCCCCTCATTTGCATACCAATCTCACCTCAAACCTTGAACCTCACCCCACACAATGCTGTTTCCGAAGGAACAGAGCCTCACAGCCTCCGGAGAAGTAGGGACTCTGCTGGAAAGGTCGTTTGCAGTGGGCCAGGGTAGACAGCGGGGTGCTGGCTGAGGCCAGCGTGTGGCCAATCAGACTTCTCTTCTTGCTGGTGTCCAGCTGTTCCCCCTTCTCTTTGCTCAGCGGGTCCCCCATCCTATTCCTTTGCTCAGTGGCTGGGAATTTCTCTCTCTCTCTCTACCTCCTCCACTGCCACCCCCACATGTACCGCCCCCCCCCCACTCTCTTCTCTCCTCTTTCTCTGTCTGCTGCTTTTCTCCTTTCCAGGCCGCTCTGAGGGGGCCGGCAGTTCCGACTCCCTAAGGGAACAGACAGCAGGTGGGGGGAGCATTCAGAGGGATGGGGCTTGACTTTCTTGCTTTTTTCCAGATAGAACCCGAAGATTCAAAGAGGCTGAGTTAAGGCACTCTGACCACACCACCACCCACCTGGAGCTAACATGGGGCATGGCTGCCAAAGAAGTCCCAGAGGGGAGGCAGTTCAAAGAGAAGGTGAACGGGGTTGGGGCAGGATTTGAAGACCCGGCTTCAAGTTCTCCAGTGATGATGACGATGATGACGGCAAGGAGGACACAAGGAATTCTCTCAGTCCACTGAGGGTGGACCCTAGAAAGGAATTTCTGATCATGAACACCAGGAGGCGTTGTGTGGGGTCCTCAGGGGGCCGAGAGAATCCTCTCCCCACCCCCACCAAGATATATCAGGAAGATGCTCTTTTCCTTGGTGTCTCAGGCTAAGGGTCCCCTAGCTTCTGCAGCCTCGCGTGCTTGCCTGGGGGTGGGGGGTTCTTCCTTGCTGCCCCTTGCTCCCTACTCCCTCCCACCGACCACACCGACCACCTACAATGTGAAGCTCCCCGCCCGATCATCTGGTCAAACCATACCCAGCAGATAAGAAACCGAGGTCAGCTGGGTGCAGTGACTTAAGGTCACAGGCAGGACCAGGGCGCCCATTCTGACTCTGCGGGCCAGAGAGTGGTCGTTTGTTCATATGACCCTGCCTCTTTTCACCTCATCACACAGCTCTGAGATCATGTGCCTGTGCCCTCAGAACAGATGGCCTTGGCAGGGGCGCATCTGCCTGGCATGCCAGGTGAAGGGGCAGATCGAAGAGCCTGGCCCAGGGCCAGTGGCAGCCTACAATGTTCGGGCACCAGTGTGGAGGCATCCCCCCAGCCGAGAGACCCGGTCACGAAGACTCACGCATGTTCCCTGTGGCCCTGGTAGCCCTGAAGTCCTATGAGGGCTCTGCCAGGTGGAGGAGAGATAGCCTGGAGCCAGCAGGGGTGCCCAGGAAACAGATGGCACATTTGGCATGCTGTCCTCCCCACTTTCTCTCCACAGCTTTGCAGGCGGGACTAACCCTCCCCACCCCAGACCCCAGTCAGATACAGGCTCTGCCCACGCCCCCCACCATCTACGCCATTAATTTCACAAGCAAGGCAAATCACAGTCATTCATTCATTCCCCTTGCAGCCTGCTCCCACCTCTCCTCCCACTTTCTCAGTGACTGGCTCTGGCCCCTTGACTGTTCCTCTGCGCTCTACAGCTTTCGGACGTGAGGCCATGGCCTGAGCCAGTCTCCTAGAGCATCTTGCTTGAGCTCCCCCACAGCCCGGCAAAAGAGCCTTGGGACTCCAGGAGTCCCAGCCCGTCCCAGCACTCCTCCCGGCTCGCCCCTGGCTCTCCTCTGGATTTCTGGTGCATGTGTGGCCGATCATGAGGCCGCTCCTGCATCATCGGTTGTGGCACGGGGAGAGCGGTGCAGAAACCTTATCCATGTTCATTAGGGCTTCAGGCATGCTGATGGAAAGGAGGTGGCAGGCAGTGGGGACAGGAGTCTGGCCAGTTGACCCGTGCCCCTTGTAGGCGGTGGAGAACCCTCCTGCTTTTTTGGACAACGTGTATATATTCCCTGCTGAGGCAGGCCACTCTGTGACCCTAAACACATTCCTCTTCCTTTCCTCATTTTACACACTTTACACACACACACACACTGTAGGTTTTATATACTCCATGCCTTCCTACCTTTTGGCTTTTCTCTCCTGGTTATGTGATTCCCCCCGGCCTTTCCCCCACCACGCAAAATCTGATTCATCCCTTAAGATCCAGCTCAAAAGACAGGAGTCCTTCTGGCGTCCCTCCACAGGGGTAGGGGCCCTCCCCACCAAGCTCTTTGTACTCTGCCTTGCTACGAACACTTAGGACATGGAATTACTCCAAGGATTTTCCCCTTTACCAAGCTAAGAATTCCTCAAGGGCATGGACAAGGATATGGCCTACCCTTAATTCTGAGCTGGGAACCTTGCACATAGTCGATGTCCACTGAACTAAAGCAGGTATTAAGGGGTGAGGCAGTATCTGGCAGTTTTCGGCCTAAAGAAAATGGTGTAGGCCGGGAGGATCCCGAACCCACTTCTGAAATCGACCTTCTATCTGAAGGCAGATTTCTGGGCACCCGGTTCTTGCCCTTCTGCGTGGCCTGTAGAATCTCTCTTCTCGGCCCTTGATATAGCTTTGCCACTCTTCCGTGTTTGTTAACTACATCTCCGCAACTAAACCGGAAGTTTTCCTTGGTCAGGAACGGTGCCTGTTTTGTGTCTTTCGGTATCTGGCTCGGTAATGAGCCTGTGGGAGACCCCCAACAATTTGATATCTGCGGGTTGAAGGAATCCAAGCCTTTGGGCTTCAAATGTAACTCTCAGATTGCCGATCTGACTTTAGGAATAGTGTTTTCTGACCGTTGTGAGTTTGGGAGAAATTTGCCGAGAGAAGGCGTTGGAATGGTTTTCTCAGAGTTTCTTAGGAATCAGATCCTTTCTCCACCCATCCTCTCCTTAGAGCAGGTAAGAGGTGGGCGGTGGGAGGAGAAGGGTGGCAAGATAGCTCCAAGGCGCTCTTGACGTGTTCACACTGTCAAGTTCAAGCAGGATATTTTTCATATCACTTTATTTCCTCTGCTGTGAAGCGTGTTGGGATGTAGAAGTTGTTTCACAAAGTTAACATGGTTTTGGAGAAAGAACAGATCTATGTAGAGTTAACCTACACACCTACTTACACACCTGGACGCGTAGATGTCAATGGCACCGAAAGAATGAACTTGTGTGTGGAGGAGGGGCTTCCTCAAATCCTAGGGAAATCCCTTCTGGCTTACAGCTGCAGGGAGCAACGGAGGAAGCAGACTTAATCTAGACGGGCCGATGGGATGATGCCGATTGTGTTGCTGCTGGAGCGAAACAGTTTAGGTTTGCGGGACCAGAAAGGACCCCTGCCCTCAGGGGAACCACAGGAGCTGTGCTCCCCCTGAGGGCCCCATGTGAGGGGCTGAGGTTTGCAAGGTGTGAAGGTGCAGAAGGGGGGCTTATCCAGGCTTAGCACGAGCTTGCTTATAGCCACAGTGATATACTGACTTTAAGCAGGAGCCTTGGAGAAACCAGCTGCAGCTAGGAAGAATGAGGCAGTTACATGGGAGCACAGCAGGGGTGGGGGGCACGGCGGGGGGAGGCTATGATGAAATGGGCCCCGTTTTCCGTAAATGAGCAAGAGAGAAAGACGAGATCAAGTACAGTGGGAATTTCTTGAAGTTAAGGACCCGGCTTGATCCAATTTCTGAAACATCTCTGGAACTGGGTGGGCACGGTGTCTTGCTTATTTCTAGAACATTCACCTCCACCAACATATACACTAGGGAGCTGTAGAGGGGCCGCGTCCCCTGGAGGGCGGAAGGGACAGGGGATGGGAGCAGGTCCTGTGGGGTCCAGGCTCTGCTTGGAGGCCAGTCAAGCCCCTCACTTGGCCCGGGCAGGGAGGGTGGGGAAGTGTGAGGGGAGAGACAGTCCAGGTAGGGAATAAATTACTGCAAGGGAAAGGGATAATATTAGATAATTAGAGCATGGTTTAAAGAGTGGAGCTGCAGACTAGAGCATGAATGCTGGAGAGGCCTCGGCGCGCAGATGTGGGGACTGAGGGCAGAAGGGGCCGGCAAGGTCAGACAGCAAACAGGAACGAGCCATATCCTCACCTGCGTTCCTGAAGGTTCCCACTTGTGCTCACCCACGATAGGAATCAGCCCCTGGCCTCAAGGCCTCTGTACCTTCGCGCCCTTTGCATCCCAGAGGAGAGGGAGACTGTGCACTTCCCCCCTGGCTCTTCAAGTTGGAACCTGAGGCCGGCTCCTTGACTTGGTGAAACCACCCCAGAGAGAGGCGAGGGGGAAGACGGGAGCCGGCTGTGACCTGTACCAGCCACCAGGTGTCACTGATGCGTCTGCCTTAGAGGGGGAAGCCAATTTGAACTTGTGGAGGAGGCTTCTGGGAGATTTCCAGGTGCTCCGCCTCTCCCAGAACACTTTCTCGTGAACTGCTTCCGGGCTTTGGAGAGGCTTGGGCCGTCCACACTGATCGAGAACAGATGGCGGGGCAGGGCTAGTGACTCTGCACCCTTCCCTGTGGACACTGTGTTGCCCGAGGCCTAGCCTCATGTCTAGACGGGCAAGGGGCTGTGGGACCATCTGCACCCACAAGGGCCCAACCCCAGGGCTCTTGACTCCCTCCCCTCGCCCGCTGGCCGATACCTAGTTCTTAAAGCTACTTTCCTGGGCTGTTCCTCCCTGTCCTTCCTCTGGAAAGAGCGAGGCCCAGCCAGAAGGGTGTGTGCTGAGGAGAGCCCCAGCTCTCCCTGTGAAGAGACTGCCAGATGTGGATCCTTGCAGGAACCCCGACCCTCTGCCTTCCTTCGGCCATTCCCTTGCATTTCCTTGCTGGAGAACACAGGCGGTAAAGAGCCAGCACGATGTGTGTGGTGCCAGTGGGCAGGGAGGTGGGGTGGCAGTGTTAGAAGGCGGGATCCTTGGCTAAGGGGCCTTCTGGGGCCGGAGCTGTCCATCATGGCGGCGTCTCCAGCAGGACTTGCCGAACCTCACCTCTGGGCTCCTCCCGACCGTCTTCGGCTTGCTTTGGCCAGGACCAAGTTCCGACGTCAGTCCATGGCCCGGACTTACCCAGCACTGACAGGGAGGAGGAGGACAGAAGAGGATGTGAAGTCTTTAGCTCCTGGGGCTAGAGGTTTGGGTGTGCTGTGGGTGTCTGTGAGCGGGGTGAACCCCATCTAGCCCTTAGACGTCTTGCTCTAGAAGCCGCGGGTGCAGCGGCGTGTGTTGGCTAGGCCCTGCCTCAGGAAGGTGGGACAAGAAAGGCAAAGCTGGGAGCAAGAAACAAAGAGAAAACGAATGGTGGGCACCGGCACGTGGGCCACTAGCATTCAAGTGCGCTCAGAGGAGACCCAGGGGCAGCGTAAGGCCTAAATGACCACGGATTGCAGCAGGCGGAAGCACATCATGAGGTCCAGTGGGATGGGCGGCTTCAGGTGGTTCCCGTCCAGCCTCAGGTAGCGCAGGTGTGGCACGTTCTCCAGATCCGAGGAGAAGTCATGGAAGGCGACTAGATTGTTGGGGCAAATCTGGGTCCCATTGATCTCTGTGGAGGAAGAAGGGAGAAGTCAGCCAGCGAGGTGGGTGGGGGGTTGGGACACACGGGGCTGGAGGCAAACACGAGCAAGGAAGAGGGGAAGGACGGCTGAGGATAAGAACCCGGGCTGGCCGCTGTCAGCGTGGGGAGTCTGCTTCAGATCTGTCCATCTCTCCCCGCCCCTCCCTCTCCACCCCCTCCCCCCACTCTCAAAAATAAAAAGAATAAAATAAAATAAATAAAAAAGAATTTGAGTTCTCTTCTCTGGGATTGGCTGACCTTGGGGAGCCGTGACCTTGGGTGCATGGGTTTACTCTATTCATTTGCAGAACGAACTAAGTCAGAATCGATCAACCACTGTTAGTGGAAATTCACTCTGCAGAGTCCTGGAAGAAGTAAACTGCGAGCTGGACCTTCACACGTGGGTGGGACCACAGCAGGTGGAGACCTGGGGGATGGTGTTCTGATAGAGTGACCTATTCTGATAGAGTTGCAGAGGCCGCAAAGCTCACGGCGACATCCGACATCCGGGAGTAGTAAATAGCACGATGAGATGTGCCAGGGCGATAAGCTGGGCGGGTAAGCAGTGGCCACGCTGTGGTCGGCTTTCCAATGGAAAACGAGATTCCACCTCTGCTCAGATGACATCAGATATGTCACCTTCCAAATGAATTTCTTACTCTCCCTAAACCTTGCCTCTTTCATCATCATCTGTGGGGTCAGCATCATTGTTGCTGATGTTGGTTTCCTTCTTCCTCTCAATTCCTCATCAGAGTAGCAGAAAGAGCCCCGACAGAGGTGGGTTTTCTTCCTATGACCGCTGTGACTTTGGCCTGTCACCTTACCACCCTGACATTTTGTTCAAATCTGCGAAATGGGGGGGGCGCCTGGGTGGCTTGGTAGGTTATGCATCCGACTTCAGCCCAGGTCATGATCTCACGGTCCGTGAGTTCAAGCCCCGCGTCGGGCTCTGTGCTGACAGCTCAGAGCCTGGAGCCTGTTTCAGATTCTGTGTCTCCCTGTCTCTCTGCCCCTCCCCTGTTCATGCTCTGTCTCTCTCTGTCTCAAAAAATAAATAAACGTTAAACAAAATTTAAAAAATCTGCGAAATGGGGACAGTGGTACCTGCCCCTCACCTCCGATGAGAGAATGCCGGTGAAGGCATTTTGCACACTGGAAAGGACGGGGCAGGTGGCAGCATTAAGATCATTGTTGAGAACGTGGTTATCACACTGACCCAGGGCTCACTCCACCCATTCTGTCTGTCAGCGACACGGGAGACAGGCTGGGGGTAAGGGGTACCTGTGGAGGGGGTGTGATTTTTTGGACTTCAGCCTCAAAAGGCTGGTTATCTGCTAGCCGCCTGCTCTTCCATAACCCGATAGAAACCTGTGAGCCCTTTATTGAAGTATTCTTTCTGCCTGTTTTCCCAACCCATCTAGCTTTCTGGGGGTAATGCATGCCATCAGCTTACTACCTGCAGGATAAAATTAGAGTTTCCCCCTTTCCTGAATTTGTTTTTTTGCAACCTTTGAAAAAGCCCTCCCCTAGCGGTACCTGGGTGGCTCAGTCGGGTGAGCGGCAGACTTCGGCTCAGGCCGTGACCTCATGGTTCATGAGCCTGCCTGGGATTCTCTCTCTCCCCCTCGCTCTGCCTCTCCCCCACTTATGTTCACTCTCTTTCTCTCTCAAAATAAATAAACTTAAAAAAGAAAGCCCTCCCCCACTTTCTGTAATTATTCCAGATGAGTGAATGAGACTGGTCTCCCATTCATTTGTTTCAAGATTGTCGAAATTCAACGATCTCCCTCTCATTCTTGGGCTCGGAAACTAAGGATTGCTGATATGATTTCGGGGCTACGTCCCTTTTCCCTCGGTCCCCTTCATCCTATAGCTGCTGCGTTCCTGGTATGGATGTAGCCTGGTTTTATTCAAGGACCAGATGGGATTCTCCCTTGTTCTTAAAGCTTTCTGTTGATGGCTCTACTCAGACCTGACATTTTTGATCGAAGCAAAACTGGGACTTCCAGCCTCTTCTTCTGGGCTGTGATTTTTATCCAAAGCCCAGGATCCTAGAAGTGCAGCTGAGGCAAATTCTGCCTGAAATGTACTATCTTATATGACTAAATAGTCCAGCCTTCCAGATAGATTCAGAAAGAGCCTTCACACTGACATGTTTCTCTGGCTGCCACTTTTTTTTTTTTTTTTGCCAGCTGCCTATCCTGAGTATGCGGCTGCCAGTCTGTGTACATCTTCAAGAGATTCTTCTAAACCTCGTTTCAGTCTTGCTATCACAGCTTCTGCGGCAGACAGGCCCAGGACATTTCAGGGCAGGCATTTGAATGTCACCGTTCCGCTTTCATGAGAATGTCCATGACTCTGTCCTGTGTCAACCCTACCACCTGTAGATCCGGAGGGCAGAGGAGCTGGGGCTAACGAGAAGGGACAGAGGAAGACAAGCTGTTACCCTCCAAGCGTGGTACTCTAGGCACGTGATGTTAACCTACCAAATCCTCATATCGACTTTGTGACAGAAGGTACTATTCCCATTCTCACTTTACAGATGAGAAAACTTCTGTAGAGCTGACCTCTCTCTTCAAGGTCATACAGATAGTAAGTGACACGGTCAAGATTTGAAGTCCAGTGCCAAGTCGGGTGCTTTTTGGCTCCACCTCCTCCCCCCAGTGCTCCCAAGAAAGGGTTGAGGCAATAAGAACCTCCCCTTCCCTGGCAGTGGCAGTGGCCGTGGCCGCGGCCCTGCCCCACCCCCACTCACTCTCTATGCTGTTGTTGTTGAGGTACAGGTGCTCCAGATTGTTGCTGATGGCGGGCACGCTGCTGATCTTGTTGTGGGACAGGTGGAGCACGAGCAGATTGGAGATGTTGAAGGAGTTCTTGGGCAGCCCTCTGTCTGACAGCCTGTTGTAGTTAAGGCGAATGAAGGCGAGGTTGGGGAAGCCCTTGAAGTATCCATTAGGGATGGTCTCGATCCTGTTGCTGTCCAGGTAGAGCTGGTGGATGGCCGCGGGGACCTTGGGTGGCATCTTTCTCAGGATGTTGTGGGCCAGGTTGAGTTGCATGAGGTTCTTGAGGCCCTGGAAGGTGTCGGGCTTGAAGACGCCATCACTCAGCTTGTTGTGTTGGAGATCCAGGAGCAGCAGGCTCTCTAGCTTGCTGAAGACGCCGGGTGGGATTCTGGAGATCTGGTTCTGGCTCAGCCTCAGCTGCTCCAGGTTCCGGGGCAGGGCTGACGGCACCTCTTCGAGCTGGTTCTTCTCCATGTAGAGGAAAACCAGACTGGGTAGTTTCTCCAGTACCTTCTGGTCTATCTTGCGAATTCTGTTGTTATCCAGGTTGATCCACCTCAGGCCCGTGGCGTTCTGGAAGGACTCCACTGGGAGCTCAGTTATGAAGTTGTTCTGGAGATAGAGGTAATGGATGCGGGGCGGGATGACGGGGACCTTTCGAAGGTTGCGGCTGTCACAGTAGAGGGCAGAAGGGAAGTCAGAGGGGCAGTAGCATTCCCGGGGGCAGTCAGGGAAGATGGATGGAGGGCCTGGTGGGAGGGGAGGGGGCAGGTCTGTAGGCTCTGATGGCTCATGGGGCTGAACAAAGCCGGGTGTGGGCCTGGGTCTGGGCCTGGGCCTGGGCCTAGGTCTGGGGCGTCTTGTCAGCTGGCCTTGGGCCACTGAGGCCAAGATGAGGAGAAGTGGGAGGATCCAGCAGAGGGATGACCTCATGATCCAGGTGATGTACCTGAAGGGAGGAGACACACGAGATCATTAGCCATCTGGGCCTCCATAGTCAGGAGCCCTGTGTTGGTGGCTAGAGTTGGCCAGGATGGGTGCCAGGGGGGCTGTGGGAGGGACCTGTAGAAGCACTCTTCATTTGCCCGTATCCAGCAGATGGGAAAATAACAAGGGCTTGAGGGTCCAGACCCCTGGCCCAGAGGCCTAGCTGCTCAGTATATTAAGCCTGCTCTGGCAAGGGTGAGCCATCCTTACAGAAAGCACGTTGGCTGTGAATCGGGAGCTCTGGGGCTTGCTGGAGAAGACCTTAACCCTAACCTACCCCTAACCCCTAACCTTAACCCTAACCCTAACCTCTCTAGCACTCGGTCTCCCTACCTGCAGCAGGAGAAAATCATCCTTGTTCCTGTAAGAGGGATGTTAGGAAACATAGAGTCCTAAGTGTTCCATCTGCAAGGGTCCTTAGAGATCCCGTAATCCAGTGGTGTTCAAACTGTGCCTCTATTTCTGTGGAGCACCCCCAAGGGAGGGAGACCGAGTGGGCGGATCTGAGGCACCCCGCCTCACCCGCCCCCGTGCCAACCCGAGCAGTCCCTTTGTTTTCAAATCTGTTATGTGTAGAGGACTGGCCAAAGCGCATATTTGAAAGAAGAGTTGCGTTGCTAAAAATGGTTTGAAATCCACCAATCAAGCCCAGACTCCACTGTTTACAAAAATTAAGCACTGGAGGGAAGAAGCGGCTTGCCAAGCAAGGGCAGGAGGCTGTTTAAAAAAATTTTTTTTTTCAACGTTTATTTATTTTTGGGACAGAGAGAGACAGAGCATGAACGGGCGAGGGGCAGAGAGAGAGGGAGACACAGAATCGGAAACAGGCTCCAGGCTCTGAGCCATCAGCCCAGAGCCTGACACGGGGCTCAAACTCACGGACCGCGAGATCGTGACCTGGCTGAAGTCGGACGCTTAACCGACTGCGCCACCCAGACGCCCCGGGCAGGAGGCTGTTTAACAGCAAGCCCAGGACAAAGACCCAGGTCTCCTGCCTTCCAGAGCAGGGCTCGTGGAGGTCCTGGAAAGGAAGGAAAGTGCTGTAGACACGCTTGTATCTTGTGTCTCTGCTCACTCCTTACCCCTGTGCTCAGCGCTGGCCTTTGCCAGCAGGAGGCATACCAAGAATTTCTCCCCAGATGTGGAGGCTCCTATGAAAATAAACAGGGAAGGGATCAAAAGCTGTGGGGAAATCACTTTCATTTCTTCGGACATGATACTGCTGCCCCCATATCCACTGGAGTTGGTGGTTTTGAGACAGGATATGAAGAAGAACTTCCCGCTAGCCTCTGTGACATAGCGGAGTAGGTCACTGAAGGATATTTGGGGGTTGTGCTCCCAGTGGCTCTGATGACCCTTCAGAGGGAGTCACGTGGTTTGCGTTGACTTAAGCTGGAGAAAAAGCAATAGACCCGGGCTGCAGACAGAAAGTGGCAGCTCCCACGGGCTTCCTCCCCTCCCCTGGCTGGGAAGGGGGCAGGGAGGGGTTTCCTGTTCCCTCCCCTCCACAGGGCCATCAGCCGTAGGACACTCCCCTCTGGTCTGCAGCCAGGGTCCCGGTTCCCACACTGCTTCCCCAGGCCCTCCTTGCTGATTCCTCACAACGCAGTGGTCTGTCCCTCCCCTTCTGGGGTCTGGGGCACGGGGGACAGGCTTGCTGGGGTCCTCTGAGCTAGAGCGGGCCGCAGAGTGTCCCCAGCTGCATCTGGACCCTGGGATCCCTGCATCTGTTCCAGGCCTCGTGCTGTCTTTCCTCTGAGCCCACATCAGCTTAGACTCCTCCCTTGCATGCTTCTTGCTGGCTTTGCTCAAAGGAAGATGATAGAAGCCTGGCACCAGCTGCTTCGTCCTGGGCCAGGTGCTCAGGAGGCACCGAGGGTGACAAGAAATAGGAGAGAGGGAGAGAGGGCAGAGCTCAACCCTGAGGGGCGGAGGGTGTCTCCCTTCACCTTTCACACACACACACACACACACACACACACACACAGGACACCTAGTCTGCTCTCTCTCTCATGCACACACGCACACGCACACACACACACGCTCCCCTCTCTGCACCATACACCTATGTGTATGGTCCACATGCCATGTGCGTGCGTGCGTGTCCTTACATAGTACACTGAGAATGGGAGGGGGGTAAAGGGTAAAGGGAGGGGGAAGGAAGGAGGACAGGAAGGGAATGAGGGAGGGAGGGAAGACAGATGAGCAGGAAGGAGGCAAGAGATTGCCCTGCAGCCTCTGTTGCCCTCCACCTCCGTCCAGAGGGGTCTCTCCCCAGGCAGGCTCCTCCAAGGGGGTCCACGGGGGCCATTTCCCCGGGCCTCCTACCACAAAGAACCCCACAGTTAGATTCTTGACGTTAGCTCCAGCTGAGGCTCCAACAGTCCCCAAAGGACTGGAAAGAGAAGACGTTCATTGTAAACTGAACTTGAGTCTTGCTGCCGGGGCCCGTACCCCTTATTGACTGATGATTTATGAATTAACAGTTTACTAGCCCTGTGCTTTTCTTGAAAATAGCACAGTCATATGCATTTCGAGGGGGTGGTTCAAGGGTCTGTATGCTAAAAACAAACATTTTTTAAAGCCCCCAATTTCGTGACCCTTTTTGTTTTGACACGTCTTTATTTTCCAATTACCTGGAAGCTGGAAATAAGCAAAAGGCTTCCCAGCACTGGCTGCGTGGGGCTCCCTATTTCCCCTCCTTGCCCTTGTCACCCAAAGCGTCTACCAGGTACTGGGCCCCGAGTCATGCAAATAAAGCTGGTCCAGAGCTTCCAGCAAAGATCGCTCTTCTCAGAGCCATTAGGAGGTTTTAGAGGAAAAGTTCTCTGTGCCTGTTCTGTGGAGAAACACTGGATGGATCTGTTCAGCAACCCTTCTCTTAGCCCCACGGCTCAACCACTCTGTGTGTGTGTGTGTGTGTGTGTGTGTGTGTGTGTGTGTGTGTGCGTGCGCGCGCCCATGCTTCTTTCTTGAGAAAACAGAGCTCATTTCTAAGGCTTTTCTCTTTAGGCAACGCCTCTTCCTGTTGGAGCCTAACTGTCCAGAGGGGGAGGTCCCGACAGCTCAGCCATTGCCCCGGCAATACACAGCGATGTCTTACATCCCCCTAAGCAGAATCTGTGTGGCAGGGTGGAGGTCCCTAGACTCCAAGGGAGTCATAACCCGCCCCCCCAACCCCCAACAAAGCCCGAAGTCACACTTTCTTATGTTCCTGCCTTCCAGAGCCTTCTGTCCAATCAAAAACTCCCTTAGGGTGGGTCATAAGTGTGCGTGATTTTTAAATTTCGTATGCTTTTGCAAGCACACCGCCCCAGCGTTCTGGGCGTTTCGCAGCGTTCTGCTGGGCTGTGTTCACTGCTTAGTCAATGGGCGCCTGTTAACCAGCTACAAGCACTAACCTCCCGCTGTTCTGGGCACGGGCTCTCAGAGACCTGCTGCTTCACGGGGGCAAAGCCCAGCCCAACATTCACTGTCTCCAGTTAAGAACATTTCCTACGAGAGTTCTCATTTGGAATTTCCGTTCCAAGTATTGGAGATCTGGGCTTGACTCCTGGCTCGGACCCTCCTCCCCAGGCGCCAAGCTCCTCACGTGTGTGGGGATGAAATGAAATCACACACACGCAGGCATGTCGTAGAACATTAAAATCTCTACAAGTGGCAGGGGTTTCACATATTCATCTGTTTGTTTATAAAAGAGCAGGTTCTCTAGGGAAGCTCTGATTTTTAAAGTGAGATAGCCCGCATCCCTACCTAGCTCCTGAATTCATTCATTTAAGGCTTGAAACCCAGGACTAATGTTGAGACGCAGGGCAGGGCTAGGTTGAGGTTCGCGTGGGTTTGCCAAGTCAGTAAGAGCAAGTTTAAGGGTAGTTGGCTTTGCGTGGAGAGTGTGGGATTGGGGTCGGCCTGGAAGTCAGGTTGGCCTGACAGAAGAAGGTTTACTCCACGCTACGGTCGACCCTTGAGCAACACGGGTTTGGATTGCGCGGGTGTGCTGATGTGCAGATGTTTTTCAATGTATATATGCACAGCCCTGTAAATGTATTTTCTCTTCCTTCTGATGTTTTAAAATAACATGGTCTTTTCTCTAGCTTACTTCATCGTCAGAATGCAGCATATAATACATACAGCATACAAAGCATGTGTTTATCCACTGTTGGTTGATGTTATCGGTGAAGCTCCTGGTCACCAGTAGGCTATCAGTAGTTAAGTTTTGGGGGAATCAAAAGTTACATGCCGATTTTCAACTGTGCAGCGGTGGGGGAGAGACTGGCACCCCTAACCTTGAGTTTTTCTAAGGGTCAACTGTACTCATTGGTAGCTTTTTTTTTCTTGTCAGATTTCCTGCCTAGCTGGTCACCCCTAAGCCTCCATGGCTTAACCCAGCCAGCATCCCTGCCGTGGAGAATGGGGGTGCCCCCTGCCCCAGGGCTGTGCCCGTTGGGATGACCCTCTTTCTTCGCTTCCTTCTTTCCGTTCTAAACTCAGACATTTGAAAGCTATCCTGCTCCCCTTTTCTCTTTCCGAAGCCCAGAAGGACGAAGTCAAGAGAATCAGGTGATCATTTGTCAACAGACGAGTGAGACAGCCTCAGGCTGCCTGTACCCCTTTTAAGGCCTCCAAGTAGGGCTGTGTGGACTTGTGCGGTCGTCAGGTAAGGAAAGGGCTGTGGAGGCATGATGAATTCAATACACTATAGATGCAGCTGGGGGTGAATCAGAATACAGGGGAGCCTGACTGGGGCGCTGGGGAGAGAGCTTTGTGAATTCTCAGCCCATCTTCTGCTACTTAGTTACGCGGCCCTGTCCTCAGCCTCAGTTTCCTTACCTGTAAAATGGGGATAACAAGTCTTCCCTATCCCTCTATTCCTCACTCAGCTGTTGTCAGAAACAAGTGTGATAAGCGACTTTAAAATGAACCACAGATCAACAAATACTAAAAAT